GTGCCATTGTTTTTGTATCTGGTCGGTTGCATTTGTATTTGCTTTTTTGCAGCTTCAGTCGATGTATCGTGCTTTACTTTTATTGATGAATCCATTTGGAACTCCATTTTGAACTTGTTGGCTTCATTTATTACGGAATATAGACGCTTACTATTATGTTCTTTGATACATATCATCATCTAGTCTTCTGCAGCTTCCAGTTATCTTTGAAAGCCAATTATTGTAGTTTGATAGGGCTAGTGAGCTCATCTAATATAGAAAGCTCACATGTGATTTCCTTCATTTCCCGCATCAGTTTTGCCTTCAAAGCTAGCTCTTTATATCTACTATTGTTTTTATTGTCTTGACCCCAAGATTCCCAGTAGCTGCTAAAGCTTTAGCGTATATGATTTTGTTAACTTCTGTGATATTATTATTATTATTATTATTATTATTATTATTATTATTATTATTTGCTTATTTTAAATATTTCATAGAAATTTTGAAATACATCTACTGTGGTGAATGATATTTTATTGATGACGGTTGTGTTAGAATTTTGAGTCTTTTCTTTCCTTGTGTACTGCATCATATTATTTACTAATATCTGTTTTACTTGTGATATAATGATCCCTATGTGCATGATATATGCAACGTATTAAAGGCATCCCAACAAAGTTACATATTAAAAGTATTTTACCATTGCCACTGACAAAGAAATTCTTTTCTTGGAATAAAGTTTCTTGGTGTATTTAAGTGAATTTTAAAGACATTATTTAAATATTTGGACATAGAATCATTGAACCACATATGAGCATTTTTTCTATTCCACTAACTTTTGTTATCTTTCAGGCAGCTTCCTACATCCCTGCACCCGCATCTAAGCCTGTTTCTGAGTGATGAGCTGATTTAATAGACTTCTTGAGAAGCAAGCCTCTTCTTAATTAGTGACTTTTTTAGGTATTGAAAAATCTGTAAACCATGGAGCAATTTCAGATGTTTGTTATAAGACAACCTTACCAAATTGTATAAAGTACTGCCCGATCTACGAAGAGACGTAAGATTTGACGTTGTTCTGACTGAAGATGCCACCATATGTCTAGCCAATTCCAGACGCTTTTCATCGATTACAGCTCCTGTCAGTTTGATGATCGCGATTGGCATAAAACACTTATAAGCCTGTGTCTCCAAACATATTTATGATTGTTGTTGCTGTTATTAAATTTCTGTCTTGATTCGGTTCTCCATTTCGGATTTCTTTATAATATAGACATTGGATACTATTGTTTTTTGATAATAGGTCATTGTCTTTATCTTGTTTTTTGCAGACTTTGTATAAGTTGGGTTTGTTTTGTTTATTCTCTTACCTTTTACTTTTTTATTATCCCTCTCCTTCTCTCTCTCTTTCTCTCTCTAATCATTTCATACCATATACACACAGACATTTATATACATACAAACACTTAAACTGGTATCCATTGTCAGAAACATTTCAATTCATTAAACAAAGAATATATCACTGTTTCCTCCTTACAATAAGAAGTTATAAAATGCAATTGTTTTTTTTTATTCTATCCCCGTGAAAGTAGTTTACCTACACGAAGATGAAAGCATTTATGTTTATTACAATATGTACTTGTATTTTTTTCTTAAATGTTTATTATATAGAGTCACTGTGTGTTTGTTTTTTTTTTGTTTTTTGTTTTGTTTTTCTGGTGTCAGTCTCTTACGATCTTACCATCAGTGATTGTTTTAATGATATCAGTCTCTCCAGAAACAAAAACTATATTGATTATCAATTGTCTACTCTATATGCTGAAATATTAAAAATCGGTGACCATTCTTCAACAAAAATCAACTCAATTTCAGAACGAAAATGCCAAATTATAGGAATTATAATTCAGAATATGTTCCCCTGACTTTTATAGGACATTTAGGTAAGGGGCAGAGCCTAAAGTGCAATTATGATAAATAAAGATAAGTCAAAATGTATAAGGAATTTGTGTCACTGCAATAAATTGAACCAATTAAGACGCGTTTGTTGGTTGGGTGTTTCGTTTTGTTTTTTTAGAGGCACCTCCATGGGTTATTTAATGCCGAAATCTAAATATGAAAATTCAAACATTTTAATTACTTCAAGAGAATGATATTATTTCGTGATTAAATTATAATAACTTAGTTGCATCATATTTGTACTAAATATTCTGACAAAATAAAACGAGATGTGAACAATTTTTCTCCTTAGAAGAAATAAGATTAATCATAGATAATTGTTAGTTTTTGTATGACAATGTATGCCATGTCTTCAATTTTACTATAAAATGTGTTGATTGCCATTTTTCTATAAAAATGTATTGTTCATAATTCTACTATAAAATGTATTGTCGTTTTGAATGTCATAGTTGGTATTTTGACTATAAGAATGCATTGTTGATATTTTGTTTTATAAAAACATTTTTAAACTTATTTCTGTTTTGATTTTTGCTTGGTGGTTCAATATTTCCCATAACTTTGACCCTAATGGGTGCTACCACCCGGAGGCAGGATGGACCTGGGAACAATAGCATTAAAGGGGTGGTTCCATGCTTCTCAAAATCTCAAATCTCCCGATCAAAGACTTTGCTTCAGATGTAGCATAACGTCATATATTATGAAATGGACAAAGTCCGACAATTCTTTTAAGACATTTTTTTATGTTTGTACGTTCTTTTTATAGATATTTTTTTAAGTAAATGCTCTGTTTATAATAAACAGTATTTACGACATTTACCGGCCTGAATGTCCGAGAAATTTTATAGAAAATATGCGTCCTGCGACAGGAATCGAACTTGTATCCTATACGGGACCGTCATATAGTCTGAGGTGCTTTTACCGATTGAGCCACAGAAGAGTGTTTCGATTAGCAAGGTCGATTTTTCTATTTTTAAAATACAATTCTGCATGATATTTTCTCGTACATTCATATCTGCTCGATGCGTATCCAAATATAAACAAATGACGTCACACATTTATTTTAAGACATTTTTTTATGTTTATAAAAAAAAACATACCTTTCTAGTTATTAGCACTGGGTTTAGTTCCATTAGATTTGTATATTAACAGAATGTTTTAGTAAAGACAAGACAAAATGAATGTTTGCTTTTATTTTTAGTGAATACTTCTTGATGACGGAAACATGCCGCGAGAAAATTATTTTAAATATTGTTTGAATATGTGTAAACTTCATTTTGATCGTTTCAAAATCAGGGGAAATCGTTTTAATTTATTTCATTATTACATGCTTTTTAACATAATGAACGGCAAAACCTTGTCCAAATTCATCAAGTTCATTTGTCACTAAAACATGTTATCATCAAATACTATAATGCCGAGTTTAAAAGCATGAAAAACATTTAAATGAATTTAAAAAGTTACATTTTCACCTATCTTAATAATACACAGAAATCTTATCGAAATCGATGGAGCTGAAACGTGTAAACTGTATTTTTCTTTATTTCATCCAGAATGTTTTTTCTTCTTATGAATAAACTATAAGAAAATATTCATTGTCTACAGTCATTAAACAAAATTGTAGTTATGAAGGGTACACATTATTTATACAATGTCATAATACCGTTTAAAATGACGGGATTTTATATATGGATGTGGACTTTGGCCGAAAATCATAATATATGTACACTCTGCTATGGTTCCGCTCTCTATCTTGTATTAGAGTGTTATATATGTGTGCTACTTGAAAATTGTTACATCGAAAATGTCTGTATGAATACGCAATGGGTTTTCTATATCTATATGTGAGTGTCTAATAATCTGAGATTGAAAAATGCAACCTTTTGTGTAATTCAGTATTAAGAAAGAATGACAAACTTAACATAAGTGCATGACAACTGAATATAATAATAAAAAGAAAAACATTATTAAAATAAAAAAAGATACAAGATATTCAGGAAGAATTCAAAATAAAAAATATAATCGCTTTCAAGTAATGAACATGTCACACACAAAATCTAAGAATTCTGGAAATATAACAGTTGATGCGAAATAATAGTCAGACCTTACAACATTATATAAGTCTTACAACACAAAGATAGATAGATAGATAGATAGATAGATAGACAGATAGATAGATAGATAGATAGATAGATAGATAATGAACATGTTGAATTACTAATATTTTATGAAAGTAGATCAATAAGTTTGTAAACTGACATATAGTTATTCGTTGAATGTTGACTTGAAATAATCGCTCTCATACATTAATATACAGCCCTGAATTCAGAGCAGTGACAAACAATGAGATAACAAAGACTGGTAAATATTTGTTATCTAAAATAAGATTTATCCTAATGCTACGGACTTACTGATGGATACACTTTTCGGTATATTTATAATTCTTCACATACTAATGTTAATATTGAAATTTCACCATCTGCCTTTGGCATTTTCCATTACATTTTATATGTAATAGTTACCATGACATTTTATATCTAATCGTTTTCACAACATTTTATATGAAATGCGTTCCATGAAATCATATATCAAATGGTTTTCATGACATTTTAAAGGTAATGGTTTCCATGACATTTTATATGACATAGTTTCCATGATATGTTACATGAAATGGATTCCATGATATCATATATCAAATGATTTCCATGACATTTTGATGTGTACTGGTTTCAATGATATTACTATGAAATGGTTTTCATGGTATCTTATATGAAATGGTTTGGGGGAATTAAAGTTTTTCGGTATGCGTTTAATCAATACGATTTAAAATCACACGTGCTGTTGCGTAAGCCGTTATCATTTATTAGTAGCATTGGTTTCGTTCAGTTTCCCTTGGAATATCAGATATCAGATATGAAGCAACTTTAATATCTCTGTTTGCCTCATTTTTACATTATACAAAAAACAATGTTTATGAAATCAGATGAAATGCGTGAGAAAAGTTGAAAACAATTTCCGACTTTGTACTTGAATTAATCTTGCTATCGTGCAGAGCTGTGATGAATAACATA